GTAGCGAGTAGTGCGTGTGAGTAAACATGGTCCCTTGTCTCTGTTGATGGTCCGTGTGCAAGGAAGAACTTCAAAAGGATCAAAAGCTCAGTAAATAAAACAGCCAACACAGGAAAACCTCAAATCTGTAACTCATGACCACTGTAAAAGGGATAATCATATAATGGAAGGGGAAAAGGATAAGATGTTTGGAACCGAGGAACGCAAACACAAACTTGAAAAAACATTAAAACCAGAAAATCCTGGATCCAGACACTGATCCAGGTTTCTTCCATTATGTGCAGACAGACAAACAGATATACAGACAAGCCCTGATAAGAAGCCAATTTGAACATTAGCTAGCTGGAGCCAATTTCCTTATGTAGAAATTTGTTCAGACAGGGTTTGTTTCCCCCATGAATTAATTGATTTGTCATTCCTTATATGGATCTAGATTCACAAAAACATGATCAAAATATAGACCTCATGATCACAGAGAGCCCTGAACAACAGATTTGTTTAAGCCCAAAATAGTGATTGTGACACAAATGGTTACTGAGAAAGAGGAGTCAATAGGAACCAGGGCGTGTTGGAGCAAAACTTTGTCCATGAGCACTTCCCTATAGGGCTTTGTTGAGCTAGGGGGTCAGCTACGTCCATCTATAGTACATACAGTCTGTGGGATGGATACAGGAGGCTTTGAAATCCAAAAGCTGGGTGCAAAAATCATCAACAGCGACAAAGTATTTTCTCTGGCTCGCAAGCGGGACTCACTTCTCCAAAGCGCAGCTGTGGACGTGGTCAGTGTGTTTTCTGCACTGAGAGATACTTTACACCATCACGTGCCTCCTCTGACAAAGGCAAAGATCTTTTAAGCTGTACCATCATCTTCGCACACTTGTTAGAATAATATTAAAAGTACATCATAATGTAAGATTGCGGGGAAATTTCAACGTCATCGCTGCGTACATTTCAGCAGAATAAAAAGTAGGTTAGTAAGAGCACTCAGATTGCACACATCACACAGGATCTATTATGTAAGATAATAGATACTACAATAAAATCACAAGATAAGAAAAATATGATTAAATAAAACTAAATAATTGCACTTTGTTCAGGATAAGTACACTAGTGGAGCATACACTGTGGTCAGCAGGAGGTAATGAAAGCGACACATGACACACACTAGATGAATGCATATTTGATATCTTCCTTAACCATGCTCTTTACAGTGATTGACATTAAGCTGGACAAACCGGCAGAACCCGCGGTGCCCGAAGGCGGGTGCTCGTGTTAATGGCGAGTGGACAGTTCTCTTCACACCATAGGCTTGTTGTGTTGCTTACTACTGGTTAGCTCCCAGTTGACTTCTCTGATTGGATATAGGAAGCCCGGCCCTGTATCTCATTGGACAAATCAAAAGTTACCCTTTCAGTCTTGTTCAGTTGTAAAATATTGTATACTTTGTCAATATGTAAGTGACTGGAAGAGAAGAAAGTTACAGAAAAAGCAAATTTGAACAAACAAAGAGAAAAAACGGAGACGACCAACGATAACCATTCTTTTCTTTGAACTATTATGTTTTGTATTTTTTTATATTAAAAAGGGAAAGCACCAAAAATGATGCCTGAACGTAGAAGGAGGAGTAATACAGTAGCGGTCAGCCATTTTTGTGGAGGTGGCCCAAACACGTCTGAATGTCTACAGCACGCATGCACGCTGATCCGCCCTTTCAGCCTCTCTGGGTGTGGGGGGGGGGGGGGGGGGGGGTGGTGGTATGTCTTAGAATGTTTTATAGCATATCTCTTTAGCATCTCATGACAAAAACGTATCTCATTTGATATTACCACACAACTCTGTAGGTTCACAAACAGTAGCTGTGAAAACGTGGCACTCTGATCGCTCTATGGTTTTACCTTTTATAGAACAAACTGTACTGTGGTTGAAAAATACGTAACAAAAAAAAAAAGGCAAACTTACTCACAACTGTCCTTCTGACCTTCTGTCCAATCCTCCCATCCCTCCATCCCGGAAATACACATATAACGATCCACTGTAATGCACTGCAATGTATATAAAATGTAATATGTATGTTGTGAACGTCCCTCTGTAGAAGTGGTCCTTGTTCACCATAATGTAATAATGTTTAATGATTAATAAATTACAAACTAAAAGGTTTTACCGCCTTAAGCTTCAGCAGTCATGGTTTGCACACATACAGCATGAATTAAATATGGCTTGTTTTGTGTGAAATTGCAGGGCAGGTTCAGCTTCTTTGTATGACAATTACAACTACATTATGTGATAGATGTGAGAGTTAAATAGCAGTGTTTCCCAAAAGGTGGTACGTGGAGCTCAAGGGGTACACGAGGGTGTACTTGAAAGGATTTTGAAAGGATTTAAAGACAATTATTGAAGAAGTTGACGAAGTCTGGGATCGTGTCTTTAATTCAGACAGAAGACATGTTTTGTTGTCGTTGGTAGACAGGATTTTACAGACTGCAAGTGATAATATAGCATGGAGGAATGGAGTCCTCCAATCACCATTTGCCACAGTGCGAGTAGCTACAACCTCGAGATAACCAAAACATGCTGTGGAAAAGTTCTGGCTTTGTGCATAATGTTAGAATGATGAGTATGAACTTTAACCACAGTTGCTTCGAAGTGTCATGAAATACCTAAATTGTCTTAAGAAAACTGGTCAAAAGGGGTTGGACATAACTGTGATAAAAGACAAGCTGCAGGTGCTTTTATGAGGGCTAAAATAACAATTATTATATTGGAACTGGCAACCAAAATGAGAGACTTATGTGAGGCTCATTCTGCTTTCTGATTGGGAACTGGACAATTGAATATTAACATTAACAATATTGCTGCATCTTGGACATTGTTTTTTGTGATTAAGAGTGAATCAGCTTTAAAACAATATATGAAAAGGCCAAAGTTCCTTCCTGTTAATGTTGACGTTCTTTTGTGTAATTAACCACTTGTCATTATTCATGACCGTTTCACACCAATAATAGCTTGTTAAGAAATGTGAAAAAGAGAGGAAGGGGAAAAGCAGAAATCGAGAGCTTCATACGAGATTACATTTTCATCCCTTTGACGCAAACATGTTTTCACGACATGAATAAACAGTGAAAACTTAAATTTGGTAATTCCATTAATATTAGAACTTATGTAAGAACAGTGTGCCCTGAAGACACATTTTAACTTTTTAATGACAACTTCGAGAGTCCAAACATTTATGACTCTTTTTCACTGTTCTTGATTATGATTTTTCTTATTTTTTTTGCTGGACTCATAACTCATTGACTGCCATTGACGTATTTGTCAGAGACTGGTGATTTCTGTCAAACTTTCCTCTATTGGACTGGGGATTACTGGAGAACAAAACTAGCTAAAAACCTACTTATTTTTGCTGATAAAAGTAGACAAATCAGTCTTTCAGAATCTGGTTTCATATTTAACACAGTCATAGCACACAATATTCTGTGGGTCTTGAAAGTCAGGGAAATCATTAAAACCGGCAAGCAGTCAATGAGTTTTTATTATACATAACATCAAACATAAACCGCACCTGCTACATATTTAAGTATTTAAAGGCGTAATCATCAACATTTTAACAAACATTCAAAATCTCTCTTTGAATCCCATCCCTAAAACCTTAAATGGAAAAGTTTTAGTGAAAAGTGCAATGAAGCCATACACTTATATCACTGGTTATGTATTCTGTGTAAATCATTGTGGCCATCTTTGTTTGTGTTGGAAGCTAAATCTCCTGTTAATATGGCACTAATACTGTTGTTATGTAATCCTGAGACTTTGAGCGGTTTTCAGCCTGTTGTTTGTGAAGACGAATGAAAAGTCTATTGAGGGTTGCTGATAAGTGCCGAGGACGAGCAGACCCTTTTATGAGGCCGTGTGTAATCGACGTGTCAATCACTCCTTTGTTCGCCGTCTCTCGCACATTCACGGATCGAGCTCTGAGTCACGCTCTGAAAACCAGAAAGTTCAGGGGAAGTTGAGTTGGAAAGAACCTTCAGGACGGAAACGGTTGAGTTTGGTGGTGAGAGGAGAGGTATTCCCCTGAGGCAAACTGATCCACTCACCGGAAAGAGGTCACATACTAACCTGGACAGACTTTTCCACCATATTCCCCATTTTAGTATAATTTATAATCCATATTTATCATTTAGAGTTTAAAACACACTGGAATAAACAGTACGCGCCAAAGACAACTATCGTAAACACACAACTCAGTAAAAGCTTTCAATTCATTTCAATTATAGTATAGCCCTAAATAACAACAGTAGTCACATCTTTAACATTTGTGACTGTACGACGCAAGATTAAAACAAATAAGTACTTAAAACAATAAAGTAAAACCTTCGAAATATATTGTTTTGTCTCGGGCTGCACGACTTGACAAATCCTAAATACTGCAAATAGATAAAAAAGAAAACATGTTGGAAATAGATGGAATTTATATTGAGTGGTTTTTTTTGCTTAAGTAAGTAGATTTTTCCTGACTTTCTTTTAGTTTCCTTCTTTTTATCTAAATACAGGCAAAGCAAAACAACACATTTTGTTCTTATCCCAAAAGCGATTAAGCTTCATAAACTTCTGGCAATTGTTAAATATAATTGAGTTAATCTATTCTTATTTCTAAGAATAATTGAATGTATGGGTATCTTGTCTGAGCTCATCAGTTCTTTGTGTTTCTCAAATGTAATGTAATTTTATATATCTACCAAAATGTACATTTAAGAGCTTGTGGGAATCGATTGTTATTGGAGAAGCTGGAACATGGCATTTGGAGATGTGAGGTTTATGGCAGCACTAGACACAAGTGCTAGTTCAATTGTCAACAAAAAACAAATACCTTCATTAAAATTATGTTCATACCGAGTAATACAGTATTCCCAAAATGAAGACACGCCTCTTCTGTTCCACTAATATGAGGTCTGGTCTGGTCGAGTGGAAGACAAGTTCATATCTTTCACCATTAGCTGCACATCATGTCAAGAGTGGAGGCCTTCAGGAAAACAAACCTACGCTGTGCATTGAAGGAGTTTCGCACTGACATCTCCATGGCAGTGGACGACCCCTTTCCATTCGTCTACGGGTTGGTGGACAAAAGCATCATCACTGAGCACCAGTTCAAGGTGAGAGATATGTTTGTGTGGTGTATGGCCCTTGTTTTCTATAGATAGATAGACGGACAGATGATAGACTGATATCCATCAATCAATCAATCAATCTTCATTTGTAGAGCGCTTTTCCTACACAGGATAACACAGCACTTAGATAGAAAGACAGATAAATAGATAGATAGATAGATAGATAAATAGATAGATAGATAGATAGATAGATAGATACATGCATGAAAGAAATTGCACTTAAGATTTACTTGAAAAAATTCTTGCGACAAATTGCTAAATTGAATCTATTGTTATTTGTTAGTAAAATGAAAAGTTTATTTTTTTTGATTGAGTACTATTTAAACAATGAATTAATCACTGGTTACAAAAAAATGGTTTAATATTTAAGCAATAATTTGGTCCATGATAAATGATTGATAGATAAATAGATACATACATACATACATACAAACATACACACATACACTCATTCATTCATTCATACATACATACATACTGTACATACATTAATACACACATACATACATTACATACATACTGTACACACATACACTCATTCATTCATTCATACATACATTATACATACATTCATACACATACATACTGTACATACATACATACATACACAATTACATACATACATACTGTACATACATACATACATTCATACATACTGTACATACATACATTCATACATACATTGAAGATGTTGAGTTTGCATTAGGAGTGTTTGGAGAAGCAGGCTGGAGACGGCATCCACAAGGCCGTGCATTCCCTCGTGTCCTGGGTCCTGGAGCAGAGCAGAGCCACCGTGGAAAACTTCTGCAAATATTTGAACACAGACTACAATCTGGACAGCTACCCAAGACTGCGCAATCTGCTGACCGACCTGAAAAGCAGTAAGGCCTTATGTTCAAACTGTAAATGGGGATTTTTGAATGGTTTAAAGCTGCCCTATGCAACTACACTGTTGTTTTTCCTGGAATGTTTCACAGTTTGGCATTACACTTTTCTATCTACAACTAACAAGTAATATTTGCAGGGAGGAGAGCTGACCCAGGAAGTAGAAATATCTGTAAATAAATTAAAGTTAAGTCTAATATATTTACATTCCAAGCAAAGTAGCCAGCAAATGCCACCAGAAAGTTGCACGGTGCACCATTAAATTTTGAAATGAAAAAGATTGTTTGACGTTGTGTTTCAGGGACAGAGACTCCACCATCAAGATTGGAAACGTTGTCCACTGCTGGCCTCAACAAAAAACGAAAAAGAAGCAATAATAATGACAAAAAGACTCCAACCACAGCCCAGTGCTCACAGGCCGATATTACTGTTCGACCAGGTAGTTCTGGTAGTTATTTCTTGTGACTGTAAGTTGTATAGATATTTTATTTGATTAATTTTTTGCATACAGTCAAAGTAAAACTATCAAGAATGAAGAATGAAGCCCTTCTTCCATGGCAATCTTCTGTTAACAGTAAGTGGTGTATTGACAAAAATGATAATGATAATGGTAATAATAATACTAATACTACCACTAATGATAATAATAGTAATGATAATGATAATAATAATAACAATGATAATGATAATAATATTTGTATTAGTAATTTTATAATATAAAACAATATGAGAAAAGTATATTGATAAGAAAAAATATATATAAATCAAGGGGTTATTTCCACAGTGCAAGAACAACTGCCCGGCTCACAATCCAGAGAACAGACTCTTGGATCAGATGGTGAACATACAGTACCCTAATACCAAGTGCTGTACAAAAATCCTTCAATTCACTGTCTGTGCATTTGCCTTCTGCAGGACCCTCTTTGAAATTCACCAAACTTGGAGATGATTACTATTCTTGCAGCGGTTCAGCAACTGCAGGTGCCACGTTCAGCCACAAGGGGGAGCCTGTCGGTAGCATGGTAGTGTTATGACCTCGTAAATGAGAGATTCTTTTTAAGAGTATTATTACTATAGATGTATTGAGTATTACAGAGCTTGTTACTTCTTGTCTGGGTGATTTTAGAGTCACTATAATGATGACGAATGTGCTGCGTGCAAAGACGGAGGAGAGCTGATCTGCTGTGATGGATGCCCACGTGCTTTCCATCTCTACTGCCTCGACCCTCCTCTCAGAGACATACCCAGGTAAACATTATGATCATTTATGACGCAATAACGTAAGATCCCCACGTGGGTCTGAAAGGACTTTGAATTGTAGTAATGTGTGTGTGTTGATCTGCAGTGGCACGTGGCAGTGTGATTCTTGTTGTGGGAATCTCGTGAAAAATGAGGAACGTGCGCAAAAGACAGAAGTAAGAATAAACCATGGATCTATTGTAACTTGCAATTTAGAAAGTTCAATGCAATATTTGTTGTGTTTTGTTGCCTTTAGCGTTACTGGACACATAAACAAACTACTAATATGGTAAAAATTCAACCCTTTGGATATCCTCGAGTCAAATTAAAAGTATATAGGAGGATTTTTCTTTTTCTTTTTTAGGAAATAATCTCCCTGGTTTTGAAACCAAAAAACTCTGGTTTTGTTTGATGAGCACGTACCACCAGAATGATTGACCAATATTCTTGATGATCCACCCGGAAGTAGAAAATTGTCCTATATACCTTTAATAAATACATATTTTTCCGAGCTGAATTTTGATGATTTATTTCTAACTTGACCAGCCCTGGGTCATTTAGATCCCTATTTCTTCTACTTTAAATCATCTGTAGCGTGTCATTTTGACCCGAGGATAGCACAAGGGATAAGAAAATTAATGTTAGCTATCAAACGGCATTAAAGCATCTTCTCTAATGGGAGTAAACCAAGCCTATAGCTTTTTTTCTAAGATGGCAATTATAGGTCCAGAAGTTATAATCTTATTATTTTATTACCTTAAATCCTGTTTGATGTGTGCATAACATGAGAGCTCTTATTACTCCTTGTATTCTGCTGTAATGTGTGCGACTATGAAACTTCCCCACTGAGGGATGAATAAAGTTTCATCTCAATCTTATCTTATCATATCAATAAGTGCCTTTCACCCAAGCTTCCCGCCAGAAATTCTAACGCTAAATTGCTATTGTCATATAGAGCTGGGTTCACTTTAGTTTCAAAAGATAAATACTAACTTTAGTGACCAGCCGACATTCACTTGTTTGGTGGTTTTACATCCATAAATAAAGCTTTTCTTCTCTGAGTGAGTTTTTTGAATTATTTCTTTATAATTCATCAATTTCTTCATTTACCACAGACACCCAACCCTCACCAGACAACACCATATTTGCCTCCACTTCCCTCCTGCTCTGTCACCAATGCTGTAAACACAAAGGAACCCAGCCAGGTAACACTGCTCTCCACACTGGATTATACTGACTTATCTTACCTAGATTTCTGTCAGTGATTTGAACTCTTTTGTGGTCAGTGCGCTGGTTCAACAAGAGACATTTGTGGAGTGTGTCTGAATGGAGGAGACCTGACTCTCTGCCTCCGATGTCTAAAGTGCTACCATACAAGCTGCCATTTCTCCAAGTAAGGCATTTAAACAGCTTCATGACTTTCCCATGCAGCGGTCCAACACACAGACTAGAGGCGCTAAAGCCGAATACTATTTTAGCTTCATTATCAGTACATTACAAAGTCAGCAGATTGATTTCCTGAATTCTTGTGAGTATTGATCAGTGTTGTACATTAAGGCCGTGTGCTTCTGGTCGTTCTTACTAATGGACTGGAAATGGATCCAAGCCACAGGGAATGCATGTATGCTGTTAGCAAGCATTCATTTGACTCAGCGGACACAGAAAAACATTTATATACAAAAGACTGTTGCTTTAACAGGACAGTTGCAGTATTGACGCTCACCACTAGAGGGTGATAGTCAGTATTTGTCAGCCATGGCAGTATCCAAAATGGTTTTCACCGGTGTTGCAAAACAGGACCAGTTTTTAATCATTAAAGTTTTGAAAAATGCATCACCTCAATATAATTATTTTCTAATACAAAATTAACAATTACATGTCTCTCATTTGTAATATTTTAATTAAAGAGAATCATGTTACTCTTGTCTGACCATAATGTTACTACATGATTAGAGCCCTTGACTCAGCAGTCATTTTGATGGTACTGAATTATTTGTTTTTATGGCTGTAACAATTAATAGAAATCAATCAAGTTTTTCTTTTAAAAACCAACAATTTTAGTAGCGGATTGATCAAAAACCATGTAAATGTCACTTTTTAATGATAAAACAGTTTTGTCTATACAATTTGAGATTCGCCGATCACAATGTAATATAGAATGTGCACCACCTAAGCATTTTCGGTACCAAACTGAGATTACTACTGTAAACGAGTTGGTATTTTTAGTTTTATTTGTATTATCATTGCTGATCTCTGCTCGTTTGTGTCAGAGGCACGTCTGTCTGCGCCTCATGCTCCGTGTGGGTTGGCTCCAGCGAGGGGGAGGCTGACAGTTTGCAGGTGTTTACACAAAAAGCAGTCATTCACTGAGTCTTGTGAAAGCAGCGAACAAATTGAATTGTTAGAATGCTTGTGTTTTTCCCTGTAGGTCCCACCTGCAGCTCAACCTGCACAAAGCCACAACCAAACCTCTGCTGAGTCTGACGCCATTCTCCACACCACAGAACTGGAGTCTGTCATGGCAGAAGTGAGTGTCTTTTATTGGATTATAGCGTTTATTAAATATACTCCATACAATAGTCTATAAGACACATGTGAAGAGTTTTTAGTTAAACCATTCCCAAAGATTCCCAAATACTGTGGGTAAAAAATCAAGATGACATCGATCACCTTCTAAACATATACAGACTTATAAATGAGTGATTAAGTTGCAAAAACCTGTGCATAGCTCTCTGAGATGAGGCAGAACATGATCTGTGCAGAAACAAAGTTTGAACTTTTGAGAAGTTTTAGCAAGTTTTGGTTTTCAAGTTTTGTTTACTCTTCTTAAGAAAAATAGCCAACCTTTTACTAGCAATGCTCAGAAAACTTAAAAGACCTATTCAATAAATGTATCCTTTGTTCAGCAGGTATTATGCAAACACCAGCTGTGTTCAGTTTGTCACATGAAAAGGTTCAAGATCAGTTATGATCTCACCAAACTGAGTTCTTTGTTTCTCCACAGGTTCCATTCGATGGCATCTTACAGTGGGCCTTGCACAGCATCTCCAGACCGTACTCCAACTCCCAAGACTGCTTTCAGTGATCCAACATGCACAATGTGACCAGCATCAACAACATAAAGACATATAAGAGAAAGCATGCAGGGCCATAAATAGTAGAGAAGTATTTTATTACTTTCATGAAGACTTTCATTTTCATTTTAAGACTATTCCTGCTGACTCTGCAAAAGGTTACTGAGTGAAACAAACTGATGTCATCTAACCTGCACAATTTTGGTCAAATTGAAAAATATTTAGTCAGAGAAAAGCGCATATAAAGTACAGTTCTCAGACATTTTATGAGCATGTGGTAAAGAATTCACACGGCCCTCCAGATGGTTTTCATACAATGACGCCGTCTCAGCGAGAAATCACTCTGTTTCTCAGGAATTCCTTGAAGACTATCACTGAGATGTGGAATGCTGTTTTTGTCATGGGATTCAGCATTTTAGCATGACTGCTGCAGCACAAATACACAGACGAAAGGCTGGCCAGCATGTTTGGTGTTTGTGTTATCGTATTCATTAATGGTTTTCTAAAATGTTCTCAAAACAGGGCAAATGTTGCACAATTTAAAACTGACTAATTGCAACAAATACCTTAGTTTGTCTCGGAGCAGAACTGTGAGCTCATAACTGCAACATCTGTTGTCAGCACTAGATGTCACTGAAGAGAAAACTGAGAGATTGGAGGCTGTTGAACAACTGGGCACATGTTCTCGAAACATTGTATAGAATGTACCAGATAAAGTACAACTCTGTCAAAGGTTCGTGACTTGTGGTAATCACAATCTGTGGATTCTATAATAAAGAGAGGTTTGTGTTTGTCTGTCGCCAACACTTAGTCCCTCTTCTGTTGCTCTTGTCATGAGCAGGAAATCATCAGGAATGTAGTTTTGCTTTGCGATTTTAAGACATTGTGACTTGTTTGAACTGTTTTTATATATCATCTTGATTCCATATCATCTTCAGTTTGAGTCTTTTTAATGTAAGACACACAATGTACTTATTTTTTTGAAATTGCTTTTCAGATAAAGTACCAACTAATAAGAAACTAATTTCCCATATTTAGCCACTATATCTAAAAATGTGGCGCCCTTCTGAGGACCACCACAAATAAACCAGGTCTAAAATTCAATCTTTTTAGGTCCTGCTTAGAGAAGTCTAATTCTGTAGTATAAAGATGAATACAAAAGAGCATAAACATCGGGTTTGAAATGCAAATGAATTATCAATATTGAACTGTAGACATGTACCGCCGACTCAACAGTACTGATAAAGAAACATAAGAAAACCCATTTTAAGTGCATTTTTTTATCTACATATTTCTCAATCAATACTTCCACCATTGGGAGTTGCCATATCTGTCATTTAGATTGTTCACTTGGTTGTTAGAGCTTCATGGAGACAGTTTGACGTCGGCTCAGGCTCACCATACGACGCTAACACAGCTGTGACACATGCCTCTCGTTTTCTGACATGTAGTTTCCACCTTAAAAAGAATATCAATGTCAGTCATGCTGTTTGCTTAATCAGGACTTTCAACAGTTAAAACCTTCCCTTGTGCATTCCTGAACTTTAAGGCTGTAAGATGAATCACTATTTTAATGTTTAGTAAATGACAAAGAATGCACTTTTTTTTTTTGCAAAGACAGCAAACATACTTTCTGTTGTATTGCATGTAAAAAAGGTGACACTACTTTCTTCATCTTAAACCAGTTAATACCATTCAGTTATTGTCAAATGACTTAAAACAGACTATTAATAAGCATTTAGCTATTTTCATAAAAACTACAACATCACTTCAGGATCAGGGTATACATTGGAATGACTGATGACGGAAATGAGCGCTAATATTCAAGGCTATTCAAAAAAATCCATAGAGACTGAGGCTAATGGAGAACAATGTTAAAGATGGTAACAAAACCGCAAACTGGGAAGCAGCGGAGGAGGCGCCAAAAGAACCATTATGTCAAATCAAGCCAGGACGAAAAATGCTTTTATCCTCTACAGGTTATATAGAAGTTAAAGTGTTTTCTTCTCTTAAAACTTAAGAAAGAGAAAAATGTTATTTATAATACACATTTACAAACCATGGTCACACAATGTGCTTTACAATGTTTCAAAATACACAGGAATAATAACTACAAATGTGATGCGATCTGGGAAAACCCATCACATGGTGAAATTTGACCAACTTAAGATTCTGACACCATCTTAAAGCTGCTTTCAATTTCTTTTCAAATCTGTTTTCCTTTTTTTCATAGCAGGTCTGTAACAAAAGTTATCATTATCTAAAGTCGGCTTATTCACATGGTTTTATGAAACAGAATCCTGAGAAAAACAGGTTTAAAGATAGAATCACCAGAATCAAATATAACATGTTTAATTTGAATTACTCTGTTATGGCACACACTTATTTTAGTTTCTATGTTGTAAAAGATAAAAAATGTTTATATGCTGGATTCACACTGTTACACACACTGTTTACAAGAATGGACAAGGCTAATGGACTAGCTTTATGAAGCCTATTAGCGAAGTTATGTTTTCTCACTTTAGCTCATTTCTAATTTTGTCACTTACATTGAAAAGTACACTCCACTTACTCTGTAGTTTACTGCTCTGTATGATTCTGGTCTTTCTATTTTGATATTGTTGAAGTTGTCTTTAGTTGATCAAACAGGAACAGACCAATGCCACTCTTGATTGGTTAATTGGTTGCTAGGTCGTTGCTACGCACAAATTTGCCTCCAGATTCCCACTCATGGAGCTTGTTGGAGTTTGCTCGAATCAGCTTCTTCCTCGATAAGGAAAACATTTTGCCCACTCCTTCTACAGTCTTTGTAGCTGGTGTAATTTACAAATACGAGTGAGTAATGTTTAAACTCTGTGACTTAAAAGTAGCAAATAAATGCAAAAAAAAAACAATTATTCACAATCTTTTTTGTCCGGAAAATATGAAAGATAAACTAATCTACATTTTCGTCAAAACAATGGAATTTTGTTATCTAAAAATGTGTTTTGATCAAGTATAAATGTAGTATCAAAATGAACTTTGATATGTTAAAATTATGGTGACCCTATTTCAGCCTATACTCTTATACAACTTCATTTCGCAATTAACAAAGCGTCCTTTTTTCTTGTTGCTGCAGGAATACTATGAGAAAATGGGCATGGACTCTCACTGTTTGCGTCCCCAAGGGAGTTTGGATAATCATAACCTGGCATGGAAGATTGCAGGGTTACCGTCGGTTGGGAACAGTAAACAGCGCGGACAAGGCTCATTAGGGCATTCCAGAGAGATCCTCAACTGGGAATTCTTGGAAGCGCTCCTCTGCTGTTTGCATTCTTCTCCCGGATAGAATTTGGAACTGCCGAGCCTGTGATCATGGCCCCGTGCTGAATTACAGGCAGAGGGATGAAACCAGAAGAGTGCCGCTTTTGACACCGTTGACCATGAGATTCTCATGCAGAGACTGGAGGACTGGGTTGGTGTTGCTGGTACTGCCCTAAGCTGGTTTAGGTCCTATCTAGAAGAAAGGAAGTATTGTGTGGAGATTGGAGACTATGTCTCAGATAATATGGCCCTGACCTGCGGAGTGCCACAGGGGTCGATTCTGGGACCTCTCCTGTTCAATATTTACATGCTGCCATTAGGTCAGTTAATTCAAAGTATGAAAGTGTCCTACCACAATTACGCTGATGACACTCAGATCTATGTCTCACTGACTGCAGGAGAGCATGCACCGGTGGACTCACTCCTTCACTGTATCCAGCGGATCAGTGAGTGGATGCAATGCAATTTTCTCCAGCTAAATGCGGACAAAACCGAAATGATTGTCTTTGGTCCCGAGAAACAAAGAGAGACCGTCATTTGTCACCTTCAGTCTCTCTCCCTAAGGCCTTTAAATAAGGTCAGAAATCTGGGAGTAATAATGGACTCTGACTTAAACTTCAATAGCCACATTGGATCGGTAACATCAGCAGCTTTTTATCATCTGAAAAATATTGCCAAAATTAAAAATATTGTGTCCAGGGCAGACTTGGAGATTCTTATACATTCTTTTGTTTCCAGTAGGCTGGATTACTGCAATGGCCTGCTCACAGGTATCTCCAAACATGCAGTAAAACAGCTGCAGTATATTCAAAATGCTGCAGCCCGAGTCCTGACTAGAACCAGGAAGTACGACCACATTAGTCCGGTCCTCAGGTCTCTGCACTGGCTTACCGTGGCCCAGAGGATAGACTTTAAAGCAGCTCTCCTGGTGTACAAGTCTCTCCATGGCCTCGCACCAAAGTACATCCATGATATGCTAGTCCCATATGAACCAGCCCGGACTCTGAGGAGCGCAGGGACGGGACTCCTGTTAGTGCCCAGAGTCAGGACTAGACAGGGGGAGGCTGCTTTTCAGATCTATGCAGCTAAAGTCTGGAACAGTCTTCCTGAGGATGTGAGACTGGCTGCCTCTCTGTCAATGTTCAAATCCATGTTAAAGACTTTTCTTTTTTCCTGTGCATACAACTAGAGAATTTTATCTTTTTAACACACCTTGTTATTTATTGTTGTAACTTTTTGTGTTTTTAACTATTTTATTGTTTTTAATTACTTGTGTGATTCTTATGTTTTTAAATTACTTATGTGATTTTAATGCTTTTTAATTACATATGTGTTTTAAATTGTATTTTAATGGTGATGATTTGTGCATTGTGTGGTGTGGACTGTGAGGCGCTTTGTGTTGCCCTGTGCAGGAAAAGCGCCCTATAAATAAAGATTGATTGATTGATTGAAGATGTATTGTAGATATGACAGGGATGTGACTTGGTGCTTGTTCAAAGGGATGTTTCACTAGTTGAAGTTTTGTTTCCTGTTTTCCTTTGCCTTTAATAATCCTTGCACTTGTCTCATAGTGAAATGAACTTTGAATTAATGTATTTATTTTGTATTTAATTACATGATGTGGATATAAAGGAAATACAGGTGTGGATGTGGCACTGGTTTGCATTTGTATAATTTTAGTCTGAAGTATTCTCGTTCATGGTATTTA